TTTATAATAAGTTTATTTTATTTATGATCAAATTCAGCAGTTCTTCAGCTAACATTACGGTTCGAATTTCGTAAGAGCTTTTATTTTTTTACCTTTTTTTCTCCCCATTTTTTGACAATTTTCTTTTGAAATTGTCCAACACTTGTTTTGAATCTAGTTCCCTTAGCGTCCTTCAAATGATTTACTCGAAAGTATGCAATATTTTTTGTTGTACTCAGTTGTTGTTGCCACTCAACCCAATGCTAAATTCGAATCTAGTTAGCCCTGAAAAGTTTTTCGTTGAATTCGAGCTGCTCTGAGAGCTCATAAAGGAAAATCGTCAGTCTCTGTTACCTAGTCAAACGAACAGGACGAATAAAAATTTCAATTTCCAAATATACAAACAAAAATTTGAAAAAAACCAAATAATACAATTTCAAAAGTGAATTTTCATTTTTATATATATTTATATATACATTATAAATTGTTCGCAAACTCGTAAGATTGTGAAAAAACTGACAACCTAAAATTGACAACCTAAAATTGAGAAAAAAAAAGTTCACAAAAGAAAAAATATTTTTTTTTTTTGTATGCAAGCAAATTGAATTCAATCATGAAGAAGTCTTATTATTCCCAATCGGTAAGTGACGAAGCTCTTTTGTGTTCCTTCACATAATCACATGCCTTGTAGAAGAAATCGAAGAACACTTGCAAGGAGCGGCTTGATTGCCAAAAAATGGCTGGACTTGGCCTGGAGTCAACCGACGAGAGTACTTTGAGTGGACATATCGATTCCATCTCGAAATCGCTCTCACAGTCGTTCTCCATGTCGCTGTCGGAGACTCCATCGTGCTACAAGCAGTACAGGAAGCGCCCCGACTGCGAGAAGTCCACACAGACTTTGGTGTTCGCTTGCCCTCGCTGCAGCAGGGAATTCGGTTCGATTCAAACTTCTGAAAGTCAGAGCGATAGCTCGTCCAGCCAGCAGCAGACTGAAGATCAACTGGAGCAGTCCTCAGGACGTACTGAAATGACGGGCCTTACCATGGATATGCCGTCACCACCGAAACCGCTGTCGGCCAAGTCATCCAAGCAGCTGTCAATCAAAGAGCCGAAGTCAACAAATACTGAACATGCAAGTGACTATAAGCCACGCTGTGATGGTAAGCCGCCACGCTATCCGCAGCCAATCAACAAAGAGATTCCAATGGACTATCACAAGCAATCGACCAGCCGTAAGTCCAAGTCGAAGATGGCCAAGGTGCTGCAGTCACCAGTCAGCGAAGGCTCATTGCAGAAGCTGGGCGGCAAGCACATGTACGATTTTCCGGATAACGGCTACGTTTCTCCAGCGGCCACTGAGCCTTGCGGTCCGCTTGATCTGCGCAAGCAGAAGCCGCCGCAGAGCTTCCGCACTGTGGCCACTGAGACATCACTTCAGTCCATTGCCGACAAATTGCCAAAGGAGTCGGAGCACAAAGAGTTTGCTGTTCCACTACCAAAACATCAGACTTCTCAGCACGTTCGCAAACAGACCCAATATACACCAGATGACGTGGATCTGCATGCAGCACAAGCCAGCAGGGTGACTAAGAAGGGTCGCAATCCGTCACGCAACATGGAGCAAGAGACAAAATCAAGTGCCGCCAGCATGAAGGAGTCAACTGAGATCAAGCCACCGACCAAGGTGCATACTTGCAAGACATCGAAAGCGGCCCAGACACAGTCGAAGTCACGCCACGGACGTCATGGCAACAAGAATAGCCAATTGGCAATTGCCAGGCGTGCCAAGGAGGCAACCGCCGAGAGTAACGAGCTGCGCAATAAGATAGTCGATGATCTCATTTACTATAAGAGCCTCCACGAAGGCAATTCCACATCGAGTGGCTCATCCTCGATGTTGCGTTCGATTAACGATGATATGACCAAATTGTTCGATCTATATGCTACTACCACACCCAGTGAGACAACAGAGTCGCCGACTTCGGGCAGCAAGACCGAGTCACCAAAACCAAGCTGCGTAAAGGAGCGCCATCATTTGCCATCACTGGGCTTGCCCAGTCCAGCTCAGCCCAAGCAGGAGGAGCGCAAGTTGTCAAAGGCTGAGGAAAAGGTACGTGATGCTCTACGTCAGGGACCAAAGATCATGAACATGTTGAACCTTACTCCACAAGACCTGATCGATACCCATGTCACGGCCCCAATGATTCGTCGCGTTCAGCGCATTTATCGCGCCAATTTGGCTGAGCAAATGATGCTTGTCCAGGAGCTGGACAGCATTCCAAAGTTGGTGCGCGAAATGTTGCAGAAACTGCAACAGAAGTAAATTTAACTGTTCTTCTTATTATTGGTTAATCAACAACAACAACAACAACAACAACAAAAATTTCTAGTTATGTGTTAAACAATCGAAATTGAAGGAAATTCGGATATGGCTCACAGAAGAATCCTCAATAAACAAGCAAATATGCTGAACGTATTGATTGATATATCTTTATATAGATCTATATATACATATCTATATAAATATATTGTAAACATGCATACACAAAAAAAAATTTATTAATAAATATTTTATCAATGCAATGAAATACATATGTACTTGCTTATTTAAAATGTATGTATATGTGTGTGTGTGTGTGTGTGTATCTCTGTATTGGTTGTATAAAATGGCTTTTACAAAATGTATACAAAATAATTGTGACTTAATATAAATATACATATATACATTGGAAATGTGCGTAAAAGTAGCTCGATGTCGACTCAATTTCAATATAAATCAATTTCAGTTTGAAGCTCGAAAGAATATTAGATATAATAAGCATATATATATGGGTATATACCTATGCATGTGACATATATGGTCATATCGTGATAAACAAATACGTGAATAATTAGAATTTTCTTTTTACTTTTTGTTTTTTGAGGGCTATGCGACACATTCTCTCACTTTCTCTCCCTTTCTCTCCATCTCTAGCTCTATCTCTGTCTGTTTCAAGTGTTATACACCATTTTGCACAAAATGTAACGTACTGAATGCGAATTCGATTCAGTATGGATTATTGCATTCATATACTATGATCAAACATATCGAGTACCGTTATCAATGCCTGATTCATTCACATTCTCACAGATATTTTCCATGTTGTCGGAAAATAAATGGAATTATGTGTTGGGCTTAGCAAGCATCCAAAGCAAAGCATATATGGGTTCAATAAAGACTTGGCTTAACACATATAAGTACATATATGTATATAGACATATACATATATACAGATATATACGTGTGTATGTGTGTGTGTGTGTGTGAAAAAAAATCCAATTTGCATTCGAGCAAAATAATGGCCACTGCTGCGGAAATTAAAGCATAACTTAAACTAAGCAATCCCTAGTGCTAACTGTCAAAGAGCACTTAAAATATCTTCGCTAGACTCGGCGTACGTCGAAAGGGATTCCACGAACTGGACGAAACGCTGCCCACAAAGCGCGTCTTGGCCGAGTTCTTGAGCCGCAGCTTGGGCTTTGTGGTGGTGCTGGTGGGGCTAGATGAGCCGGACGAAACGCCCGATGAGCTGGCAGCCGATAACGTTGATATGGAGCCCTTTGACGAGAGTGGCTGCAATCGAATCTTGATTAATATATGCAATTTCTATCGAATTTCCATTCCCTTACCTTTAGATAATTGCGATCCATGGGCGTAATGACCTTAAGTTCCAGTGTAGCGCCACAGGATTGTATGAGCCGTACGACCTGCTGATGCGAATACCATTTGACATCCATGCCCGCAATTTCCACAATAAAGTCGCCCTCCTTGATGCCGCCCAACTGCAATGGAGAATATGATCAAAGTAAGTACTAACTTCAGGCAGCTTATCTCAATCGAAGCCTAATACTAACATCGGCCAATGAATTGATCTCGACGTGTGCTATTATGACGGGCGCATCGCCACGCACATGAAATCCGAAATTCTCTAGCTCCTCCTTGTACAGGCTGCAGCCGGCCTCGTGACTCTCGTCGCCCCTGGGACAGTGGCAATGATAGCTGCTCGCATCATGATATATGGCCGAGCCCTTCTGCAGGCGAACACAGCGCGGCGCTGTCCAGTGGCGACGTGCGGAGAATATTGCAATGGGGCCGAGTCGCTTGAACGGATCTTCCACTTTGTACGATGTAAAGTCCGGACCCGTCAACGTCAGCGTGAACTTTGAGGAGGCTGCGGGCAAGCAAATATACGTATATTATAATATACTTAGGTATATCTAACAAATCTAGTCTTTAGTGCTCACCTTCCACAACTCGCTCAGTTAGATCGTAGCACTCATCTATGTTCTTGACCGGAGCCTGAAGGCAGAATCGTTCATACTCGTCCTGGGTCTTGTAGTACGCCTCCTTGATGACCTGCGTCAGTGATGTTTTGTTCTGCAAATGATGATGCAGTGGGGCGTCAATCAATTGCCACTGGATGATTGATTGAATGCTTACTGAATGACTCACTCACCTTCAGGTAGCGGCACATGCGCTGCAAGCGCTGCGCCTCCTCGTGACTAGCCAGAGCTTCTTTCAAGTGGGTGCGCTTGATGGCAGCTACGCTGACGGTCTCCTCCTCGCATACGCTGTTCGCCTCAGTGGCACGCAGTGCCTCCCGCGCATTGCCAATGAACGATTCGTTCGACGATGCCGCCTGACTCTTTTTGGTGCCCAACGAGACGTTGTCGGCGTCGCCCACAGTGGTATCAATGCTCCGCGCCTCGTAATGATGTGCCAGAGCTGAATGGATGTGGTTGCAATGTTATTGTTAGTTCACCATCCATTTGATGTTGGCCAAATGCCAATATCAATAGCAAGGCCAATCATCGTTCCGACTCACCTTTGTACAATTCGGCCTTGAGCGGCACCAGACCCGCCCAGCACTCGGGCAAATAGGTGTGGGTGTCATTCACTTGGATATTCTTATGCATTTCATTGTACTCCAGCGACAGCTGTGCCGCCTCGCCGGCCAAGTCCCGAAAGAGCTGTAAATGTCGCAATGAAATGCATTAGCTAAGACTCATCAAATGACGGCGCACAGCTCAAATGCATATTCAGATAAATCTGTGGGTCAGTCAATTTTGACATATGCCACATACATATATATCATTGTTATTTCCGAATACGTCACGTACTCCAGGCATTGATAGCGTTTAGGTAATTGGGCAATGGTAAGGGGAGACAATGACTTTTATAGCTAATAGAGCTCTCTCAATCCATTTGACTTACATGACTGGACTCCGTCAGGCCCAGGGCCTCAATCTGTAGCTGCAGCTTCTCGAACAGGCATTCGCGTGCCTGGGACAACATGAGTGAGACGAGCACATCGAGCACCTGCGGCTTCAGGTCCATCGACGGTGCATTGGTGAACGTATCGTAGATGTGCCGAAAGACTCCAGCCGCACGCAAAAAACTATCAACGGCTGCGTCCAGGCCGCGTTCGGTGCGCCTGTCGTGACGTGCACCGATCTGTGTGTAAATGGCGCCCAGATTGAACAGCGTGCAGGCCTTCTCGAAGGCAATGGTGCGCTGGCAGGAGGGCACACCAGTGAGCGAGTCGTACCACTCGAAGTAAACGCCCAGATTGCGATCGGGCGGAAAGAAGCGACGTTCCACATAATACAATAGATTGTAGTAACGGAAGAGCAGCGCAACACCCAGGCCATCACGTGAGGGTGTCTTTGATGCCTATACAC